CGTCATCAAGGCGCTCGCGTGGCGACGAAATTGCTTGAAGTATGCCCAAAACCAAGGATGGAAAAATGTCAAGGCATCCGTGCTGAAGATAATTTGTGCGTTTGCAGGTTTCCGGAAGAAGTCGAGCATCAAACAAATGTGGCGTTGACATTTATCAAGATGAAAAGATTAAATGATGCAAAGAAAGTCCTACACAATGTGAATCAGGCACCCTTCCATTAAATAATATTGTTTAAAAGAGAAAAACTCGCTGCCATTTAGTTAATCGAAGATGACAGTAACAACGCGGTGGCACTGGCCTACTATGGGTATATACTCAAGATAAGTAGTAAGGAAACTTCAGCTTGCAAGAAAACAATTGTAGTCCTGTTTAGGTTGCTGAAGATAATGTCGAACAAGGAGTGGCTTTTATGAAAAAAGGACTGCGTTTAGGAGGAGACGAAATTACTGACGCAAAGTAATCGGAGGCTTAAAATTTTCAGTACATCTAAAACTAGTTTAATAAACTCTAAGTCGCCAAGTTGAGACGAAGGTTAGTGGAGGAGAATTTCTAGGAACTCATTTCTATTGTTTCAGATTCTATTACCATCTTGGGCAGGGTCTGATGATACTAGGAAGATCCAACGAGGCAAGCTATATCATTTGATGAAACTTAATAACAGAGTTGAAATCAAGCAAGAATTTTGAGAAAGCTCATCTTTATGTTATTCTTTATTTTGAAGTTTATATTTTGATTTTACCAGCTTTGGCAAAAAAGAGATGCACCGAGTGGACTTTGGTGGGTGGGGAGGGGAAGAACAAAGTGAAAGTGGGCATATCAAACTTCTTTACAAACTCGATTTTTGAGATTTAAAACATGGTTCACGCACATATGAAGCGGATGTGGCGGGGGCGCAACAATGATCTCTTGTTGTGAGTTATCGCATCCTGCTCAGCTTCTACGGCACTTTTTGCACAAAATTAGAGGAAGATTTGAGAATTTTAAAGAAGGAGGATTGCTTACAGCCTGAGAAGAAGTGCAAGGGAGAAAGTTGAGTTACAAATAAATTATGAGCACATTCTGAGGTTCATCGTGTGTATCCTTATATAAAAAACTTGGTGTACTTATAAGTTCCTAATTTTTTTCCTCAATCAATCTTACCCCTTTGCACACAGAAACTCTGGAACAAAGCGCAACAGAAACCATTTAATTCAGAAGATCACAGCCGCTTTCACGTTCTTGACTTTGCACTTTGGCGAGGTTGTCCAAAATTGCTTTACGGAGTATGTCGCTTCGTTGGTTACGAACATAATTAACAACAAAATAGTGACCATTTTTATGTCTTACCAATTCTTGCTTTTTTACTCAAAAATTTTTAGAAAAATATGTAAAGGGGTCTTCTGAATCGCACAGAAGGAATATGACAGCTTCAAGAAATGTAATCACTTTTATAACTGTCTTCATTTTAATTAACTTGCAAACTTTCGAGAAGCATTTCTTTTCACATTTTTATTTTTTATTGATTGAGTTTGCTACACAATCCAGTTGTTGACCATACAGTTCAGCAGCGACTGTAGCATCTTCATATAATAACTCCATGGATCCACACATGGCATTTTGTTGTATTGAATGAAACAGCGTACGACTAGCTCACTGCCGACCATCCACATCCAGCTCCCTCGACAGTG